CGCCGCAGGGAGACAAAGCACTAGCCGGAATCGAGCGTCGTCTAGCTCGTCGACGGATTCCTTCGGGGCCGAGTCCCTGATATTCCGAATGCTTTCCACCCGTAAACGTCCGAGGACGCCGACGTTGACGCTGCACGATGCCGTCGCCCCTGCAGTTCGGATTAAACCGTCGCCTTATAATGTCGTGTCAAGTCAAAGTGAATAAACCGAGGTGAAATAAATTTCTGTTTACGAAGAAACCATAAAACATCAAGTCTCGCGATAGCAATCTTAGAATTAACTTAACAGCAAACGCGAATATTCGCCTAGAATTTTTGTTTTCTTTTCGGCGAACTATCCACGACAAGGTGTAACAGTCGCTTCGATTATAATCGGGAACGGAACGATAGGGCGAGGGGTTACGGAGCGAGCCGAGCGACAGCCGTGATTTACTCGAAGAGCAGGACACGACTCGCGGCTTTATTTTCCCTGCGTCTTTCGCCGTAACCGGATTCCAGCGACGGTAAACGAATCGAATCAATTTCCAGATCTTGATCAAATGGAGCGCGTTGGTTCCGCCGGCTAATGGTGCACTCTGCTCGTAAAACGCGCGAATATCGATCGCTATCGGCCCGATTCGTGACAGCATCGCGCGGTTTCGTCTGGGCACCCTGTGTCGTTACTGCCAGCTGGTTTACGACGCGATAATTGCGCTTAAATATTACGAGTCGGGGTCGGAAGTTTCGAAACCGGAGAAAACCGTAGGTAGAGTCGGAACAGAACTAAGTAACTAAAACAGAGTGGCTGTATAACGCGAGTTATAGCAACGGGAGTTTCGGCAACTCTTTCACTACCCAGACGGTTGGAAACGACCCATCCCGGAATTCTTATTTCGCGATTACCGGAACTCGTAACTCGAAACTTCCGATCAAAATGCAGTGGACTGTAATCACGCTGACGTCGATGAAGTCACGAACACTGCAGACGCTATCGAACATCCATACTATCACTAGGGAAAAAGAGAACCATGCATGGATCTCTCGTTACTTGGATCATTACATTCTTCGTTTGCATCTTCGTCCTCCAAGCGTTAACCCCTTGCCTATTTACTTTTAAATTGTCCATTCTACTTCAAGTGGAAATTTTATTCGAAGATAACGCAATGATAACAGGGAAATAGTTGTTTGCTTTGATCCGTGGGTAACGAGTCTCGTTCGTCATTGTTCGGCAAGGGGTTAACACGACAGTCGAGTAGAGAGGAAACGTACGACTCGACGAGTTCGCCCTGGAAATCGTCGAGCGAAAGGAGTTTCGGCCAGTTGCACGCTCGCAGCGGTGACGTTGTTAGCTCCCGGATGTCGAGCTATCATTGTTCCCGTTCAATTTGTCTCGATGGCTCGCAGATAGGAATTGTAGGGCAACGTTGATACACCTCGGCCATTCTCTAATAGAAAAGACCGTGGAACCGAGCGAGCGAGCGAGCGAGCGCGGGAGGGGGGACGGGAACCGGGACAAGTGGGAAAACAGTGGGAGGAATAGGTCTGTCGAACGGTCACGAGGTACCTAATATTTCTCCGGTGTTTCTTCCGCTCGTCCGGTTCGATTGGCCGTTCCGCGGGAAAATGCCGATCGTGATATACCGTTCCGAGGGTGCGCTCGGGGATACTCGTCGATAAAGGTCAAACCGCTGGGCAGCTCGTGCTCCGCGCCGCTCCGCTCCGCGCCGCGCCGGCCGAATCAATTTCGTATCATTCGTATCGGCCCTCGTATCTGCCTTGTTTCCGTTGTTTCCGCTTCCGCATCGACCTACTGCACCCCGTCACGCGTGCACGCGTGTATCGCACGTGTGTGCACGCGTCTCGGGGCAAGGGATCCGAGTGCGCTGAAACTCGACGCGTCGGCTTTCATGGCGGATAGGACGTCGCTCCGCGATTCTTTTACCTTCGCGTGGATCTCTGTAGATTTTCATTCGCGCCGGTTCGAATAATCACGCCTCTCCTTCGCGCATAGAAATCAAAGCTCCAGATTCCATTCTGTAGAAGTTCTAACGAGTATTACTTCCGTCAAAGTTAATGGAAAACGCGGATGCGGAAATAAGGGGCAGGTTTTTATCGCGCGATGCTTGTTTGTTACGCGGACGTGCTGAAACTCGACCCGTCGGCCTTCATGGCGGATAGAGGGACATCGGATGTTCGCGATTTTTCTACTTTCGCGTGCATCTTCTCTGTAGACTCTCACCCGTCCGGACAATCTTCCTCGATGCAGCGTCTTCCCTCGTAGAGATCCAAGTTCGCGCATCCCATTTTGTAAGAGCTGCAGCGGGTATCGCTTTCGCGAAATTTAACGGAAAGAGTGGAGCCGAAAATAGAGGGCACGTTCCTATCGCGCGACGCTCGACATTGTTACGCGAACGCGCCGAAACGTCTAGCGACAGGCTTCACGCGACCCGACGGTTTCCCGATCCTGAGAATAACGAATTTCACCTGGAACCGCGTCAACCGTTATTTCCTTTTCCCGCGCTCGTCTAATCTCGGATCTGGCCGCCGCGCGATTGCAACTCGCTCTCGGGGAGACCGAGATGAAATCTTTAGCAAAATGCGATCGCGCGACTCCCTCGGCCGAGAAATCTCGGTAGCCCCCGCTGCGAAGCTTTTATCCCGAGTCGCGCAATCTTCGAGGCTCTTTGCTCCGGGATTCGTTCACGGTTGCGGGAATTACTGCGCGGAAACTTGTCTTTTCGATATTTGTCGCGACTACTTCTTTCAACCCTCCTCTCCGCGCGCGGAAATTTCGTTGTTGCGCCTTTCGCTTCGCTGCGCGCTGCTCTAAGAAGATCGGATTAATTTCCCGGCGCGGAAACGGTCGCAGCTTGTCAGCGACAGCGGCGAATCCTCCCGAAAAATCTAAAGTTTCCTCGGAACTTCGTCCGTCAGGGATCGGAACGAATTGAAATTAAAACAATAGCGGGCTCGGGTCCCTCTAGAACCGTCGGCGTTTTAATATCTCACGCGTTCACGCCCGCCGCGAACGCGCGAGAGCCTCGGTCTAGCGATCCTGTTCGTTGGCGCGGCGAAATTGAATTAATTAAGAACGACCGGCTGCCGAGAGGGAATTGATGAATCAGGAATTGATAAATAGACGGTCGTTGAGCGTCAAACAGGTGTGGCAGGGTGCTGAGTGGAGGGCGTTCCAGCGGATCGTCGTGGAAAACAACCGAACCCTTATAAGCGTTAATACCGAACGATGAGCTAATTTAAGCGGCACCCAACGTAGCTGATAACGCGCGTTAAGGGAATCTTCCGGGTGCGGCGTCTATAGCGTTGATAAGGAACAGCGGGCTTAATACGGATTCCTCGGAAATCCGCGAATTTCCGACGAGTCGCAGCTTTGTAGCATTGATCGTCGAGCAGATTAGTCATTAGTGAATCAGTAGATACTAATTCTTTAACCCTTTGCACTCGAGAATATTTTTCTCAACAAATATTCATTATTCTCTGATAAGATATCAATGATGCTTCTTACAACTGACATAAAGAAATACCTTGTATAAATTAAGTGACAAAACTATTTTATTTCGATGTTCCATGTATTGATACACTATATAAAATTTAATATTGAGTCTGTAATTTTATCATTTTATTGAATCGAATCCAGTGGCGACTGAAAGGGGCATCCCATATTCGTCCATCTATATCCACGTTTAATTTAAAGCATAGCAGTCGATGACAAATATAATATTCAATTTGGATTCAAGAGAATTGAGGTTGCGCTTTGGTTAACTCCAATTCGAGATCTTTCTCGAATGTAACAGGGCATCCTACGGCAAACAAGTGACTAGAATAAAACGATTCCGTTCGATTCGATCGGAAGCCGGGCGCAGAAGCTCGAAGATTTCCGAAACGAGCGTGCAGTTGGAAGTTTCCGCGAGCGAGGGTGATTGCGACGATAAAGTTCGGTGTGCCGGGTCGCCTCTCTGTATCCTGCTCGTAAATAGAGGCCGGGCTGAGCGCGTTCCTCTCGTTCGAGCACAAAGGGAGCCCTCGCCGGGATGATTTTCGCGTGTGCATCCACGGGCAACGCGCGCATCATTTGTACGTTGATGTACTTAATGAATCACTCGTCCCGTCCGCTCCGATCGATTCCGCTTCTTCCGTTAACACCCTCGAGGCTCGAAAAGGGGCAGGTCACCGAGGAAGCAAAACGTTTTTCTTTCTTACAAATACACGACATTTTATGAAGTTTCTCTGATAACTCAAACAAGGAAGAAGTTTTCCATTTTCTTCGTTTGTTCTTCGAACAGAATCGTTCTCGTTTGTACCTAATCGCGTTCGTCTTTTCGCGATTAGAATTTATTAGCAGTGTTTCACTAGCAATCATAGTTTCAATGTTCTATTTTATGCAACGAATGGGTTTAATAAAATCTGAATAACATTCAAGAAACGAATCACAATTCCCTGTACAAATACACGCGAAGGAAATTGAATTTTCTCCGCGCAAGATAGAGTACGTTCGGTTAAGCATCAAGGAACTGTTTGCATAGAATTACGAAAAGAAAAACTAACTTTCCGCCCCGTTTCCCGGCGAGCTACGCTAAACTTTCCAAACCCAGTTGCATTTTCCCGTTCACATCGCAGCCACGGTTTAACGAGCAACGTTCAATTTGTAATCGAACTTTCCCGCGGAACGGTGCTTCGCCGTCAGGCGGTCGCGTTTCGCGTTTTGCTTTTCCACGAAAAATTACTCCGCTGAAATGACTTTCCCGCGAAAGTCGGGCACAAGCGACGGATAAGCTACCAGGAACGGCTCGTTCGAATTACCGTTGTTAACTCACACGGGTCGCGAAAGCTTGTTGAAACAAACTTTCGCCCGTGAACTCGCTGTAAGTGAAAATTAACACTGGAACTGCAGATCAAAGCGACTAACTTCAGGCTTTTCCTTTTATAACCATCGAAATCGTACACGTCTTCTATACAGATGCATTAGCATTTTCATGAGAAATTATATTTTTCTTCCATTTCCAGATGACCGAGAACGCTGCAATTTTCCCTTCTGTTTCACTGGAACCTCTGTCCGCGGAGGAACGCGTGACGTCACGGTTTTACAGATCATTCGGCTGGTCCTTCCGGACGTTTCTGTCACGTACACTCTTCTGATCCGTCGCTGACACTCCGGCGCGGTCGGGGCGAGGGTGGACGGAATAATTTCGGCTCGTGTATCTCGACCGATACAAGAACACAAGCTGGCACGAGGAAACAGCCGGATTATGCGCTGCAAGAGCCGGATGTGTCATCGTGTATGCCTCCGCCTCGGACCCATGTATCTCGGGCATTGTCGTTCGCAATTTCAGTCCGCATTCGGCCCGGTACACCCGACGCGACGGGTCACGGAACTTTCGGTCGTTTTTCGAGATAACGCCTACCAACTTTCGGAGAAGCTGGAACTCGAGAACAAACGGGCAGCATCGATTCTGTTGTGGATACGTGATAGCACAATTATAGCGGCACTAACAATTCTCACGTTTCTGCAGTTCGAGGAAATAATTGGACAAAAGGAATTAGGGTGACGTCACAGGAGAAGGCAGAACAGAATTGCAATCGGCATTTTTCATTCGTAATTTGAGTTCTTGTTAGTTACTTGATAGCAACGTTTAGATACAAGTATTTAGAATATCAGAAATGATAAATTCAAGTGGCGCTATGATGAAATTAGTTAACCAGTGAACTGTGTTTGACGTAAAGCTTGACACGATACAGATATGACAGATGTTATTCTTCTTTATTTCGCGCAGAACGAGAGGCTTTTCCAACTAAATTCCACAGTTAACTGGTTAAACACTCTCGCAAGATGACTGGTAGTCGAGAACGCAGTGCGATGCATAGCCAATGCGTCGCCGCGGCGCGAGTTTCCCGAGGCGTAGATCGTAGAAGACAGGATCAAAGAGTTATCGAAGATCCGGCGATATTTCACGAATTCGGAGGAGCAGGATTTCGCGAAATTTTTCGAAAGCCATGCAAATAACGTGCGAGCCAATTGGACGGTTCGCACGCGAAAGTTGCCGGGAAGTTCGCGGCGGAGAGAATACGGAATATTCATCGCTGGTTGACGGCATTGTTCCGCGGGTGTATTGTTCCGTGCAATTTTCCTTTGACTTTCGAATAAAGTACTCGCGAAGTAGCTCGGACTGGCGTGCACCGCCGCCGCCGCCGCCGCCGCCGGGAACGGGTCGAGAAAAATACCGATGATGCATGCTTGCGAACTTCCCTAGGCACATATCTCGTATCCGGGCCAGTCCGCGGCTAGACTGATGGCTCGCCGCTCGTATTAGCTCCCTTCCGGCGACACAGAAGCTTTCTCAATTTTCCTTGAATCGATACGGTTAGGCAGTTCGTGGGAGCGCGGGTTCAATATTTACTTATTTCCCCGGAAGTTTGTGCATAATTCACCGCGCCCCTCTGCGCTCGGTCGTGCAGAGATGGCCCACTTTTTTAAAAGAGCTATTACATCATAAATATCCTTGAGATCTAACGACAAGAATGTATGGAAGTACATACGAAGGAGTGTAGTTAACACTAGAACTACAGTCGAAAAGTTCCTGTTTTCTTGTTTCGTTATTATTGATATCTTCGAAGCATTTAATTGGTATTTATTCGCAAAATCGTTTCACACTTCTCGACGTGGAAACGGCAAGGCGGCGATATGCAGCCAGAGAACACATAGTTCGATCGGTTTTTTGGTCGCGAACATAACCGGGCCTGATCGAGTCGAATACCGCAGCGTGAACCGTGTTTCTCTCGGCGTAATACGGCTAGTTAACCGCTCGGATCAAGATCTCGCGCGAGAAACGAAGCGACGCGTTACAAGTCTCGAAACAAGAGTCGCGACGGCTCTCGTCGATACGCGTCGTTGCGCCGGAAACCGAGGAAACTGGGAAACGAAAGGGAAACCGATGTGCCGGTTAATTAAGGGAAACGGGAAGCCGAAGGTTCAAAGGGTTAAACCTTTCGCGACCGTATAGTTTCGATTCCCACGCAGTTTCAAAATTCCTGCGGTGTACATTACGATCGGAAGACGTTTATCTATTTTGAAGATCGGATTTTAATACGGTCCTATGAATTTCCTCTTCTCCCAGTTAGAACGGAGAAATGGAGCATTTTATTTCGACTTTAACACAGAAACTGCCGAGCAATCAAATTGGATTTTCAAACTTTTCTATAGAAACCCTAAGAGCGCATTCATCGAGTCTTCAGTTGACTTACAAATCAGTTTCCGTACTGACGAATCTTTAGGAACTTCTCAGAAGCGTGTCTCTTCTACAACCGCGAAAAGAAATCAGGTCACTCTGATTTATCTGTTCTAGAGTTGAATTAAATGAGAAGAGTTCTATATTTTTATTCTTCAATTTATTCTTCAATTGAATTACAGGCGAATTTACATTGCAATAGAGAACGAAGTACAGACAGCTAACTGGATTCTATTCGCTCGTCGTTCCCTGGTCGTTTATTCTCACGCGCGAAAGAATCTGCTAAACGGCCGGCGTCGATTCGGATCGGGCAGCGATGGGAAACCGATTCGAATATCGTCCCGGGGATCGTGACGGGTTTCCGGGACCCGTCGCTCCCGTCGCTCCCGTCGCGCGGATAACGAACAGCGAATAGCGCGAGAGCCGAATAGAAGCCACGGTCGTTCCTCCTCCAATCTCAGGATCCTTTCACTTTTTAACCCAGTTTCCATTGTTAGGCCGACAGGCCGGTCGTTCCTATCACGCCCGGCGACTCCCGAACCGAGCGAGCCGACCGTAATCAACGCTGCATCGTCGAGTTTCCTGTCCCACCCCACCCCTGTCCGGCCGTTCGCTTTCTTTTTCGCGGTTTTCCTCGAGGGAACAGGTTCCGCTATTACAGAACCCTTCGCGGCGGACACTCGCAGCGCGGCAGGGCTGGTCTCTATCAAATTCAGCCTCTCGTTAACCAAATCGGCCGATCCCGTGAAACAAAAAGCAGAGGAAAGCGACGCGACAGCTGTACATCGACTTTGAACGTGTCCCTTTAAATGGAAAATCATGGGAACATTGCAATCGTTTATCGAGTATATAAAATGCGTTATCTTTCAACTAATTCGCTAAAGGAATTTCCGTGATTTCGCGGTGATAAACTAACGAGAACGTTTCTTTTAAACATAGCGAGTCAACAGATTACTCGCGTTAACGATCGAATTCGTTCGTATTCAAAAAGGGAGCCGATTCGCCGGATAAATAATTCAATGACCGTTTGCCGTTTCGACGTCGCGCGCGAGGCGCGATTCGAAGTTTACAAAACACTCGGAGGAAAGCAATTAGTCGCGTTCCAGCGAATTTCCTCGCCGCGGCCGTGAGGGAGCGGGCAGAGGACGGAGAATCGCGCGATTTTTCCACGGCGCAACCTCCAGCCGGCGAGTTTTGCTCGTGTTTCGTGGTCGTTAGCCAAGAATCCGCGAGGCGGCTCGCGAGATGACGAACGGCGGGAATGATTAATATAAATCCTTGACGCGCCTTCGCGATTCCGCCAGCGCGCCTTCGTTCCTCGCGAGAGAGGCTACCTGTCTCTCGGCCGTCGGTGTGTCGTGGGTGTGTCTTCGTGTTCGTTCCCGTGATTCACCTTACGCGTGTCCTTTTATCGTCGAAAAAACCTCGGGAACGGCCGGGCAAGAACGTTCGCCGTGGAATCGCGCTCGTAAAACGTGCTCCGTATTACGCGACGCGTGAGATTGCCTTCTCCTTGATCCGCGCGACCGATGTTCCAGTCCGAACGGGCTCAGATAAGAACTCCTGCCGCCATTCGTCGCCTTTGTATTTCAATTTTCCGAGCTACCGCCTGCCACCGAATGGCTCCGCTTTGCGAGAAAACTTGGGAAAGCCGAGGGAAACGTTTCTGGAATCGTGGAAATAGATGTCGTAATTATTTCCGATTCATTGGGAGAAGTAGAGTTTGCTGCTTTCATAACTTTGACGAGATAATCGAAGATATCAATGAAAAGCAGAATTTTATTAGACCTCTGCATTCGAGAGGTGACTCGGACACTTGATGTAGCAACGCTATAGAGTCTTATATATAATATTAACCCTTTGCACTCGAAACATTGAACGTCTTCCGAAGAGACGTAGATGATGATTCACAAAAAAATCAAGGAACAAACGTATTTGCTTTTAATATTTCGCACAGCGTTACAAAGTTTACTATTAAACATTTAAGTTTATAACTCTAATCTACCAAATCGAGTGGTGACTGAGTCACCTCCCGAGTGCAAAGGGTCAAGCTGCATTTAATCATATGTGTGAACTTTGTTCCTTAACGCATCTTTTTTCATCGGCGACTTTCAAAGAACGTCCACATCTCATCGAAGAACTTTCGAAAAACGTTGGGGGGCAACGATTCGAGGTAATCGTTTAATCCGTAGTTCAGTAACCTACGGTCAAAGGATCACGCAGGTAGAGGGGCTCGCGGAAGTGGGGGAAAAATTGGGAAAACACCGGTCGTTCCTCGCGTGCGATCCATTCGCGGGTCGCGTTGGAAATCCGAAGGTCCGTGGCGGCGGCGTCGGCGGCGGCGAGCGGCAATTCCGTTGTTTATCCGCGGCTTTCCCCACTCGTGGCAAGTGTTTTCACCTCTTTAGCCTTTGCCGCGCGTAGTGCCGGGCCAAACATCGTCAAGAGACAACCGGCGTCGCGACGTTCCAGCCTCCGACCGGCGAGAACAGAGTCTGCCCGTTCCCAACGAACGATGTCGCGATTTTCGGGGATCCTGCTCGTCCTTTTGGCCGCGACGATCGCGATCGCGATATCGGAGGCCAAGCCGACCATCTACAAACGCAACCAGGACAACGTGTTCGAGCCGGGTGAGTTTTTCTCATTTTTCCGCGCGGCTAGCGGCTTTTAACGGGCTCCGAGAAATTACACGAATTTACGTTTCCACGCGTTGCATTTGTTCGGGCTCTCGTTAACCTTCCGTCGAACACGTAATCGTCACGCGAATACGTAGCGAATAAAATCAATTCGATTACGAGAAAGGGATCAGCGATCGACGAGTTTAACCCCTTGCCTTACGACTTTCTTCTGATTTTACCAATAGCCGCGAGAAACGAGAAACTTTCTTTTCGTCGTAAGCACATTTTGCAGGTGGAATATTGACAATTATTATCGATAACAGTAAAGAACATCAGTTTTCGTTGGATAGTTCTATAAATCCTCGCTGATAGTCTGACCCGTCGTTACTGGGCAAGAAATATAAACTTTAATGGACTTTAATGAACACAAACCGGCGGCGTGGAATCAGTTCGCACTCATCCGAACGAATTCTCTTAAACAGGAAAATTGCGCCCGCGGTAAGGTTAGTCGTGGCGCTCTTACGAAAGTGTGTCAGCGCGTGCATAAATTTTTTACCGGCGACGGACACCGCGTTTTCCAGGCGTAGTCTTTCGCTGGAATCTCGAGCGTCCGCGTTTTTCATTTACGGGCCGCGTAAGTCGCGCGCGGGCTCGGCGTCGCCGGCGATCATTCACGGTTTACGCTTCATTCGGCTTTCGGTTTATTACATTCGCTCGTCCGCTAGGGAGACAATAGCTCCCGTGTCCCTTCGAACCTCTGTTTGCCCCCGTTTTTCGCCGGCGCGCGCTCTGACACGTGAAATGCCTCTTATTCGAGGCGCTCTCGTCGGACCAGCCGCCGCTCTGGAAATAGAGGGTGTCCCGGTAATTACGGCGCAATCGCGATTAACGCTAACCGTGCCAGCCGAACGGCCAGTTTTCAAATTTGATTCGTTACTCTGCGTTCCCTTCCGTTCGATCGACTTCCCATCGATTCCTGTTATTCGATCAGTTTCCAATTTTCTTTTCTCTTCTGTTTCCACTAAGAAACATTGGTCGCCTAATTTGTTCACCTCTACCTTGTTGCCAATTACTGGATCGTGTACAGTAAGTATTGGTATATAACATTCCGGCTTAGCTTTGATCGCGAGACTCGCCGCGAAACTGCTCCAGACGTTTCGCGAAGGATATTTAATTCTCCGCGATTCTTAGGACACCCTGTGTGCAGAGCGTTGAACTAATTTCTCAGGAGTACTCCGCGAATCCGCTCGCAGCTTCGGAATCAGAGCTTATAAGGCACTGCAGCGTTAATCTATGCATTACTTAGTTGCTGCTCCCCTTTTCTCGGTCCTTCGTTTTCCACTTGCTCCGCGGCAAGCGTTTTCCACTCGCGTCGCTTTCTGTATTCACAGTTTCTAGAACAGTCCTCCGTATCGTCTATCGACATCGCTGTCGCCGTTTGCCCGATCGATCTTTCTCGGTTGTTCCACGGCCGTGTAAACGCACGGATTCGGAAAAAACGTGAACGCTTTCGAAGAAACCGGTAATCGAAGTTAAATCACTTTCGTTCTCGAAAAACTTCCGGCAGGTTTTTACAGCGAGACCTTCGTTTTTCGAGGCGGCGCTCTCCGATCACGCGCGCGTGAATCTTCGAGCGAGATAACGAGCGGCCGGCGGCCGCCTCTCGAAAAGAATCGAAAGTTTCAGTTTCTCTTTCTCCGATCTCGCCGGAGATCGAGGTCTTGGTCGCGCGTGGATCTCCGCAGAAAAACTTTCACCGTAATCGTTGCGCCGGTGAATCGCCGTCGAGACCCATTCGCCGAGTTTTCATCCTTGTCGGGAAACGTTAACCCGTTAGCCGGCTGGCTTTTCCGTCGAGGAGCGATTGGAATGTCGACGATCGTTTTCGTTTCCTTCGGGAAGCGTTCTCACGACGATGCATTGAGCTAAAGAAAATTGAACTCTCCGTGTTCCTCTTCAGCTACACTCGTTACCATTACTTCACGGTTAATAATTCATTAGAAGGAACGAAGTTTATCATCACTCTGCTCCTACGGTTACTCGAGACCACGACGATCGTCGAGAAATGCATATTTCATTTAACCAGTTAAGTGTGGAACTTCGTTTGAAAAATCTCTCGTTGTGCGCGCAATAAAATGAAATAACGCAGTGTATACTCGTTAAACGCAGGCCAAATGCACTTGAAATGTATCCTAAAAAACTAAATAATCCATCGTTGAAAAAGTTAGCACCATTAAGAGTTTTGAGATGTATACTCGTCAAACACAGTTAACTGGTTAAACTGAAAAGATCCGAGCGACATTCGCATTTGCTAAATTCCGCTCGAAACCTTCACCGCGAAACCCACGCGACATCGTAAGGCGAAAGGTTCATTGCGAGCGTCCTCGAGGTTAGAATATTTTTAAGAGACAGTCCGAGTCGTTGCGAAACCTTAGCAAAATCGACAAACACGTTTCTGCGATTCGGCGCCGTACAGGAAGCCTGTAACGAAGTAATTTTCTCGACTCAAGGACTCGTAGTAGCTCTTCCCTTTTACTTCGCGATGGCAAAGCTGACTGCGACGACTGGCACAGTTACGGTTTACGGTGACGAATAGCAAAACCGATACGGCTGCCAGCGGATTTTCTCGAATACGGTAAACTGTTCTGGCTCGTGACATAAGTCCCGATGACTAATCCGCGCGGCTGTTTCTTGGGCCTTGTTTATCTTGGCCAGTGCCGGACCAACCACCCAACGAGAAATAGAAAGTAGACGATCATTCGCGAACGCCGACATTCGCGAAAAGATAATCGAACTCGCGAATAACGGCGACGGAGCTTCGTAGATGCGTTTCTGAAACGAGCCGGGAAAAGTTTGTCGCGGTTGTTCGTCCATTGGCAAGACACGACGGAGAGAATTCTTTCGCGCGTAACTCACGACGCTGTTGGGTTGGACGTTAACTTTCCTGCGTCGTTGGAGGCTGTTCGAGTGTACAGTACTTCGAATCATCGTATGAACCTCTGACTTCATGCTAGAACTAGTGACTTCATGCTAGACATTGCGTAATATTGAAGTTTCTAATTAGACGGTGGTAACTCCGAATGCAGAGAACTTTAAAAATGATATTGTAAAGGTTGCTAAGGGTTCGAGAAATTCGTGCGGAACATAAAAATAATTTTTTGCCAGCGTGTAGCCTAACGAGGACTCGTCTCGCCCCTGCCGTCCGTCGCGCCGAGGACGCAGCCGCACTTGACCAAATAAAGGGCGATCTCGAAAAGCCCGAATTTCCTCGAGGCGACGTTTGACAGGTGGGAATAACGGGAAGATGACGTCAGTTCGCGAGCAGCGTGGGCTTCGATTATAGCGAGGCTGCCATCCCGAGCGAATCATACGTCGACGCTGCTCTCGCTCCTATTAACATCGTAGCTCCTCGGTAATTAGAGCGCCCAGTTCACGGTATTTCGTGAAAATTCGAAGAGCAAATCTCTCGAGTTCCGAAGCAACTTTTCTCACACCCACGCAATTGAGTACATCATAATTGTAGACTAACAATTGTAAAATTCAAGCGTTAACCCTTATTTCGTTTCAAGCGGAAAAACTGTCCCGTTTGCTTATGCATGCTCGTGTATATTTTATCCCGCCTCGGAAAGTTGAAGTTGCTCACGGTCGTGCAGCTGAATATTCCGCTGAAAGTTCTCCGTCCAGTCGGCGATGTTATAAATTAACGGTAAATGCGTAAATAAGTGAAAACAAGCATTTACACAAGTCGAAACGCATTAGTAAGCTGTCGAGACTGTCGTGATTAAGATCAACGAATTGTGTGTCGCAGCGAATTCCGTGCAGCTCGAGTCGTTTTCTTCTTCGGAGTCGCGTCGCTGAAAGAGCTAATCGCCGTGTATAATTTCTTCCTGGATCAGCTCTGAAAAAAAGAAGCAGCTCGAGGACACGTTACGGGAGCGTTTACTGTTGGATCGGTCCCAGTTCTTCGAGACACGCTGACAAACTGCTCTCTCCGCCGTCTCGGGGGACTCCGGCGCAAGAAAGATCATGGACGGGACGTGAAAACGGGATGCCGGTTAATTTACGCGCAACGTTTACGCGTCCGCGGGCGCGCGTGGCAGCGGCGGCATCTTCTAATTTACGATCGAACGAGGCGCAGTTTTTGCCGTCGAGGCTGGCGTGTCCGCGAGCCGAGCGATCGAATTTTAATGGCTTGTTTTGTCGCACCGCGTTATGCATCCCGTCCCGGGTTACGCGTTGTAAATTATCGAGCTCGTTCGCTCGATTACACCGTGTACCTTCCGTGCCGGTTCACTTTGTTGCGTTGCCCAGGCTGGAACCGATCGGCAGCGTTCGAGATTTCAATCGTCGCTCGCGTCTTCCTTCGGGTAACCTTGTTAGCGCTAAAACTATCGAACATTTAGGATGACCGATGCCTAATCTTCACTCAGAATCGTTACAATAGATTTTCCTCGGGTTTCTCGGATACTCGTTACTATTTTCAAGTCCGTTTCGGATAGTTGATACCTTCGAGGTCAATAATTAATACGTGATCATCGATAAGAATAATTGCGAAGTAAGAAAACCTACAGACTTCCAGCGTTAAATACGGGAAGAACGAGGCGTACGAAGCAATTTTAGGAAAATAGCATTTCGGAGATTTTAAGGGGACGGAGACAGGTGCGGAGAGGAATGAATGGATAACACGTTAAAGGAACATTGCGTGGATGGCACGGAGGTAGGCGAAAGAACAGTTCCGGGACAGGCCGATATCAATTTTCGTACGCGGACTTAATCTCGGAAGTTTCGGATCATCTCCGAGATTAAAGTTCGCGGAACTTCAGAAGCACCTATGTCGACATCGTAAGAGCTTCGGGTCTTTCGTTTACCTCGGTCTAGAAACGAGTTGCCCCGATAATCAAT